TGTACATGCATAGAAAATACACAATGGAGTACCTGGGTTCTGACACCAGCAGGTAGGGAGGGGACTTGTCTCCTTTTCACTATGTGCTCACATTATTCACAAGAACCGTTTGTTACTTCTGTTTTTTTTTTTTTTTAATTTAAAAGCTTACTTTTTAAAAGATTTAGGCAAATTAGTGTTAAGAAGTATTAGAGCATGACCAAGGGAGTAACTGGGGGCCTCAAACTATTAGGGTGCACACTCTAAAGGGCTCTGCCCTCCTTCTCATAGAGACAAAGGAAGCACACACTTCGTGTGAAACATCTTTAACAGAATTGATGTGCATAGAGAGAGAAAAGAGGATATTCCTAATAATAGTTTCCCAGTAACTACCCAAAATTACACATCCCCCATCATGGGCAAACGCCTAACCAGATAGGGTCAGCCCAGAGCAGGGTCACTGCGCCACAAGTCTAAGGCAGCTTCTGGGAGGGAACAGTAAGAATGGGGTAAGGAGGCCCCAGAAAACTGTGACAAAAGGAGAAAAAGAAAAGTACAAATCAAGGGCCTCCCTGGTGGCGCAAGGAGTTAAGCAACGCACTATGAAGCAATCCGCAGCCTCTGCAGCACGAGTTCAATCCCTGGCCAGGAAGCAACCCACATGGCGCAGCAGACCTCTCCTGACTTGCCCACTGCTCCCCTTGTTAGGGGGAAAAGGATGTCCTAAAGCTAATTCCATACAGGCTTTGTGGACTCCACCCCCACCCCAGGCCAAAGCCAAAGACACTGGGAACTCCAAATCCCATCACCACCAAAGGGAAGGTGGCTGGGACCTGAGGGTGGGGTTAAGCAGCCAGGTTGGTATAAAGCTAGACACATGGACTTTGGAGGGGTCCCCCATTGTGACTCTCCGCCAGCTCGCAGCGTCCGGCCAGCTCGGAGAGTGCTTCTTGGGTTTCCAAGTCGGCGGATTGGGTAGGACGCATTAAAGACTTTATTTCCCTATTTTCCCTGAGTTGTACATTTTCCTTATTTCCTTTTCCCTTGTAAATAAACCTTTTATTAACCTTTTGTGTGTGCCTGTAGTGGAGTATTCATAAGTCCCTTGTAAGCGCGCGGGTGAGGACCCACAGCCAGGCAACCCATTCAATATCAGGGCCGCTCTATAACACCCTCAGCAGTGTATTTCAGTCGGTCTGCCTGTTCTGTTCCCATTCTGTGTCTGGTGAATCCTCTCAACCCCCACATCTCTGGCCTGTACCCCAGCTCTTGTATGTATAAATAAATAAATCTTAAAAAAAAAAAGTACAAATCAAGATAATGGCTGCCATTGTCTCTGACAAGAACAGCATTCATACGTGTCTCATATCCACGTATCTCTTTCCAAATCCTCCATGTGTCTCCTCTAAGTCCCCCTAAGTCCATGTGCAACTCAGAGACAGAGAAGCAAGAGCCCCACCTTCCAAATTATATAGCTTCAGGGGCCACTCAGCATTGCCCTGTAGCTAGTTGAGGAAGCTGCTTGTATGTGGGGGAAGGGAACGTGAGGCCTTTCCTGACAGAACAAACCACAACAATGCCCTTCCTAAGCCTTCTTGTCCCGTCAGGTTTTCCTGACTGTCTCCCACTCTCAACACCTGGCTTTGGAATAGGCTCTACCTTAAAGATTTTCAAGTAGTCCAAAAACTCAAAGGTGATTTTATTTATTTTTTATTGATTAACTTTACTGAGAACACTCATCCCATGTCTCGGCTACTGCTGCTAGGGCAGGAGGCCTGGTTTAATTATTTGTGTGTAGTTTGGCAATGATGCTGCAGTAGCTGTGCGATGAACAAATGAAGCACTCATGGGGCTGCTGGGTGCTGATGACATGCCTGGGCTTCAGGGGGCCTAAAGGATGAGGCTATGATTTCTGTAGGCGGTCCTTACTCTGGTTGTGCCTAATTTCCCACCAATAAAGACAAGACTCTGGGAACTATTTCAAAGGCTGGCCAATGATAGCAGCAAGGGCAGCTCATATCCAAACCACAGAATTCTTCGCATTCTCCCTCAATAAAGACACTTCCGAAGTTCAGCATGAGTGATTACAATTTTGACATTTGAATAGTACAACCAATGTCAGTGAAGTTCCGAGGCTTGAACAGAAGGACTTGATTCCTCAGGGTTTGTATTTTTCCTTCAAGGTATGGCATCATAAGTTTCTTTTTTAAAAAGACATCCAAACTCAGAGCCACAAATGTTAATGAAAAGGGGGGTGGGGGGTGACAAACAATGCCTTTGATTCGGTAATGTTTCCATTCCTCTCATGGGCCTCAGAAGAGTTAAGGTTTCAGGAACGAAGTTGTAATCACTAAACTATGCATACTGATGAGATTATAGCCCCAGGATTTATGAAATCTTGATAACCAGGAAATTAATTAGTTTGAACCCCCTGCTGCAAACACAACTGAAGTGACAGACATGGAAATACCCTTAAACAGCCCAACCCAGTCCGCCCAGCACTACAGGGTGCAAACCTGCATTCACTTTCAAACTGATCACACTCTTAGTAAATGGAGGCAGTGGAGTGCAAAATATTCAGATTTTCAGTTAGTTTAGAAAAACATCAGACCACTATGAAAGGCTAACACAAGCACAAAGACAACCACAATCCAGGGTACTTCTCTGGGGCGGGGGTGTGAGGGGTGGGAGGGTGGGGGGGTGGGGGGTGGGCAAAGTTCCTCTGAATTGGTTTACAGGTTCAGGTACACCAGGGGCTTTTCAAGCCATATCTCAAACATAAATAGGCAATAATTTTAAAAGCTTTGCTTCAACAAATGCAATTTCTTTTTTTTTTTAATGTTTTTTTTTTTAATAGAGGCATGCTTTTATTTTATTTTATTTATTTGTTTGTTTGTTTTGTTTATACATGCAGTGGGTACAGTCAGAAGCGCGGGAGGGTGAGAGAATTCACCAGAGCCAGAGCGGGGAGCAGAGCAGGCAGAAGGACCGAAGTACACTGCTGAGGGGAGCAGCGGGCGGCAGGAGAGGTTTGCGCGCCATGTGGGACCCTCCTCCAGTGGCAGGGGAGCAACTGGGGATTGAACCGGCACTGCAGAGGCTGCGGGCAGCTTCGCAACCCAGCGCTCAACCGCTGCTCCACCGGGGAGGCCCCAAATGCAATTTCTTATGAGTCTATTTTCCAAATCATTTCTTTTACACCTTTTAAGGTATGAAGACTTGGTGCAAATGAATTTTTAAAATTATCTCTAATTTAATAAAGCACTATTGTTATGGTCATACATGGAATACTACCAGGTCACTAATAGTAAGTTCATTTGCATTTTCTTACTTTTAGTGATCTGGTATGTATACACACTTACACTCACACCTATGCATACCTGTATACATATATACATATTCCATAAGCAAATTATAAAAAATTAACTCTCTTTGGGGAAATGGGCTTGGGTAGCATTTTATACATTTCTGTTCAATTTTACCCATCAGTATGCATTATAAAAATGACTAATAAAGAAATGACAAATGCCAAAGAAAAGGTTTCCCACTGGATCAGCTAATAGACCACCTGTGAGGACCCCAGGGTGTTTTACTGTTCAAGTGTTTATACTATTTAAAAAGCTACGAATGAAGTAACTTACATCAAACATAAAATGCAATCACTAATGTCAAGCCCAAATTAACTTTGGGGAATTAAACCCGATAGCACCCAATGGGGCTTATGGGCACAGCAATAAGGGTAGACCCCAGGGGAATGCCCTGGGTGGACTTCCCAGGCCCTAGATGAACAACTAGACATACTTGGCAGAAAGACTCTTTAAAAAGTATAAAAATGGCAGCTGGACACCAAGCAAACCATACACTCACCTCCACACGAATCCCTTTGTTGAGACAAGGCCATTCAACGCAGGCATCTGCCTCGAAGTTTTCCGCTTCTGTCTGCTGGATGCAGGCCCCAGAGCTTGCACACAATAAGCTCCCAAACTGCACTCACCTGAACCAAAGAGTTTGAGGTAAAAAGTGCCTCTGCTTGGACAGAACCAGCACCCTCATCAGCTTAGACTTTGGTTTGTTAACAATGGACTATGTTTGACAAAGTTTGAGAATGTTAGACTTATTAATGTACTAGATTGTTAATAGATAGAGCGCTGATGTGAATTTTTTTTTTTTTTTAAAGAGAATGGTATGGACTTGTGTGCTCCCAACTCACTCACTTGGAAGATCAGGTTGGCTGGTTTTCATTTGTCACAGGTCATCACCCATTTATTTGTTAGTTTGATAAACTGCAAATTAATTGACATTGTAGAAAGAAACAGTCATGTGTAGAACATTAATTTTTCTCATGACAACTGCAAGCCATTTGTTTCTGCTTCCTTTTATTCTGTATCCATCATCTTATGCTTTCTCAGCTTTAAGAAGACAACCCCACAAGCTTACTTAAAGCACAACTAGCAAGGAGGGCAGGGTATAAACTAGCACTCAGTGAGAAGGAAGCAGATCATAAATGAGATCACATTAACAGTCAGGGAATAAACAATAATGCTACACCCATAAAGCTACAAGTATAATGAAGTGCCAAACACTTCATCATCATAACTCTACCAGGAAGATTCTATTATCCTCATATGACAAATTAAGTAACTGATCTTCCCAAAGGCAATAAAACAGACAAGAAGGAGTCGGAATTCAGCCCTGCCTGGCCACTCAGGACCTGCACTTTGAGCCATGAGATTATCATCTTCTGTTCAAATTAAAACAAGATTTTATTCAAGCAGATTGGTAAAAAAGACAGCGATCAAGCATTTTAGGAAACAACTGCAAGGGTACTATTTTGGTAGAGTCGTAAATTACTGAATACAACCTAACCAGAGTTACCAATATTTAAAGTGGACCTAACTTTTAACTGGCCATTTAAATTCCAGTAACCTGTCCCACAAAAACACTCCCCAAAATGTCTGCATGCAGATGTTCAGTGCAGCACTATTTTAGAATATCAAAAAGAAAGAAAACTTCAGGAGCTACTGTTAGGGAAATGACTGAATATATTACAACATATGCAAACTTGTAAATAATGTGTAACCTTTAAAAATGGAAGTGAACCTATAGATGCAGATGTAGAAAGAATTCTCTTATCCTTGCAATTATTACATGTTTTTCATATAATGTGGTTATATGGAAAGGAATCGTCAGAGAGTAAAATGTACACTCTGGCCCCAGTTCTGTAAAAAAGAGTAATGCTGTTATTTCCCACCTCCCACTCCCCTTCTCTAACACACACACACACACACACACAACACAGAAGTAAGTTGTAAAAAAGTAATGTGTTATTGATAAGTCATACAATAAAACAGTAATTTTTAAATGCCACAAACACACAGTCACATAAAGTTGGTTTGGAGTCCGGGACTTCTCTGCAATCCACGCTACTTTAGCGTTCTTTTCCAAACAGGTGTGGTTCAAACCCAGTGAAGGCTCTATAATTTCATACATGATAACAAGTGAACAAAACTAACAATAAATAGTTCAACAACAATTGGAAAAAATACTAAGTGGTAAAATGCCATCCTTTGTCATAAAACACTATATTACTCAGACTACCTGAAGAGTGTGCTGAGATCAGTAAAAAAGTCAAACAAAATTTGTATTTCCAATGTTTAAAGTCCTTATTATATCGTCCATGAAATGATGATATATACAAATGCTCAAAGGATTAATAATGATTGAAAGTCTCCAAATGTCATCAGCTTTCATCATAAGCTGAACATATGAGACATGAAGCATTCTGTTTACTTCTCTTTTCAAAAACTACCTATGACATCTTGTCAAATGGAAGCAGCACTCAGAACAGTAGTTCCCAAACCTTGTTGTACAAGAATATCAGAAGGAAGCTTGTTAAAACTCGGGTTTCTGGGTTCCAGCCCCAGACTCTGAGCTCTCAGTGGAGAGGCTGATGAATCTGCCTCTTAAAAACAAGATCCACATCAATTCAATGAGGGGATAAAAGAACCCCAGTGAACATTCAGAATCTACTGTCCAATCCTAACTAGCTGCCACTGATTAGAAACCTGGCTCTGGGGAGCACCTTTCCCTCTCTTGTTTCCATATCTGTAAAGTCAGTTATTTCAACTGAACATTGCTGGGGGCCCTGAAGCCCATGAGATGTAAAAGAAATGTCGTTTCGGCTAAGAACTTTGTCATTACACCAAGACCGGTTTTTGCAAGTCAGTGGGTTTCAGTCTCTTTACTACCTTCTGCAAAGACTCGGTTGTTTCTGGGAACATCTGTGTAGAAGAAGAATTCTGAAACTGATATCTATGTTAGTTGGAGGGAGGGGGAGTTTCCCTTCTGAAGACAAAGAAGTTTCTAGCAATCCTGCGATATGCTGCATATAAATGGTATGTGGTAAGACCCGCTGGGTTAGGAAGCAACAGAAACATTCCATAACATTAAGCAGGCTCCAAGTCCTCCTCTAAATCTTCCATGAGAGAAGCTGGAAAATTCAATAGGTTGTTTTAACGCTGGTTGAACTTGAAGAGTATGAGCTGGATTTCCTGGAAAATTTCTTTGATGAAAGGGATACTTGCATCCGCTTGACGGTACGGACACTTCGACAGAGAAGAGCGTTCTTTGCATGATCCCTGAAGTCTTGTGAAACAAAGTAATAGACAAAGGGGTCAATGCAGCTGTTGAGAGTGGAGAGGCAGAGGGCTACGATGTATAGGGCGTAGACGTGGCTCTGGCCCTGGCTTTTAATCAAGAAATAATGCACCACGAGCAGAAGGTTACTAGGAGTGAAGCAGATCAGGTACATGGCCAGGACAGTGATGATGAGTTTAATGGCTCTCTGCCTCTTTATTTCTGAGTTTTCATCCATGGTAGAAGACTGGAGAGTTCTGATCATCAGCACATAGGTAGAGGCTGTGAGGAAGGCTGGGAACAAAAAGACTCCGATGGCCAGAGAGAGGAAGTAGTTGAACATGTCCCCTACTAATACCTCCTCGGGCAAAACATCATGACAGGTAGTTATGCCCAGGCTTGGAATGTAGATGGTCTGCTTCACAACATACAAGGGGATGGTAACCAGCAGAATCAGCAGCCATATTCCTAGGGAGACACCAATGGCAATATTTGCCTTCTTCCTGGGGTGCACCAAGGGATTCATGATGACCCAATACCTCTGCACACTCAGGCAGGTCATAAAGAGGATGGAACAGTACATGTTGCCATAGAAAAAGCCAATGAGTACCTTGCAAAGAACTTCCCCATAAATCCAGTTGTTGCCGTTTATGTGGTAGGCGATCTTCAGAGGGAACCAGATGACAGAGAGGAGGTCGGCCAAGGCCAGATTGGCCATGTAAATCACAGCAGGGTGCTTCTTCTTTGATCGGAAAAGAAAGACCCAAAGGGCCATGCCATTACTTGGCAAACCAATCGCAAATACAATTGTGTAGACAATTGGAAGAAAGACGGTGGTCAATTTTCCAGTGAGGACCAAAGTAGAAAACTCATCCACCGAAAAGACTGGTTCCATTGTACCTCCTTTCCCAGTGATGTTAGCTGAGCCATTAAATTTACCCACGAGACTTCTTCCTTTAGATTTAGTGGTTCCTATGCAGGAAAGTCAAAGCAGACAATGGTCATTACATAAATCAGTGTTTCAGGAGTAATGCTGGTTTGTTCAAATAGGAGTCTGTTAGACAAAGACAGGAGGGATACACAAAATGCTTACAGGGACTTTGTCTGGGTTGATGGGATGGATCACTGAGATTTCTATTGCTGAGTTTTGTTTCTTTTTTTTAAAGTAGAGGGTTGTGGGGTACGTGTGAAATAGAGCTGATTTCTATGAATCTCAAAAACACCTTGACAGCATTTCAATTTATTTTTCTAACCGCCCATACTCATTAGTTCCTAACTATTCTTCTAATGGCATCTATCTCACCCTGGAAGCAAGACAGGATCCAGCTTGCTATTAGTAATTCCCTTTCCTAAATTGTGACGCAGGGGGATTTCCAAGAGCATGAGGAACATTGCCTCTCCACACCTTTTAGCCTCAAGGTCACTTGACAGACGGGTATACCAAAGACAAATTTGTGTCCTGACTTTCAAGCAAGTCATGTGGCACAATATGGCATGTTTTCAAAATGTATCCGATCCCATATTATGTATTAAATTTTAGAAAACACAAGCAAAAGAATGGCATAACCAGTCTATATTCTGTTCTGACCAAGTGTTCATGAATCTGCCAAATAAAGTGGAGCACCATTTGCGGATACAAAAGGGTTTTTATTTTTTTTATTTCATGGAACAGTAGGCCTTCACCATGCAGAGAAACTGGGCAAATGTACCGTATTATGCAAGGAAGGACATTAAACTTACTCATGAATTTATCTGATACTTTTTATACTGAGTCATCACAATTTCTTCCAGCTTGCACCCACATTCATTAAGATTATTCACATCTCTTAAGGCTTCCCTATTAAGGACTAACAGTGGTTATCTTGCAAAAAGGATCAGTGTAGAGGTCATTACTTGACTTTTTACTTAGGATAGTGGGTTGAAAGGTAGACCCCAAACAGATGTCCACATCCTATTCCCTAGAATATGTGATCATTATCTTATTTAGAAAAGGGGTCTTTGTAGATATGATGAAGGCTCTTGAGATGAGAAGACCATCCTGGATTACCTACACTGACAAGTGTATTTGTAATAGAAAAACAGAGGGAGATTTGAGAGACACAGAAGAGAAAACCAAAGGGAAGCAATGTGAACATGGAGACAGAGATTAGAGTAAGGTAGAGAAACAAGCCAAAGAACACCAAGAAATGCCGACATCACAAGCTGGAAACAGCACAAAGTATGGATTCTCCCCTTGAGCCTTCAGAGGTGCCAAAACCTTGAATTCAGAGTCTGGACCCCAGAACCATGGGAGAGTAATATCCATTCCATTAAGCATCACCCTGTGGCAATTTGTTATGGCAGCCACAGGAAACTGATATCCTTAGGATAGACCTGTATCTTGTTCTTATTTCTCTTATAATTTATTTTTATTTTTTAAGATTTATTTATTTATGCATACAACAACTTTATTTTTGCATACAGGCCAGAGGTGTGGGGGTGAGAGGACTCACCAGAGACAGAGTGGGGAGCAGAACAGGCAGACTAACTGAAATACACTGCTGAGGATAGCAGCAGGCAAGTCAGGAGAGGTCTGCTGCGCCATGTGGGTAGCTCCTGGCTGGGGATTGAACTAGTGCTGCAGTGGCTGACGAGATCTTCATAGATTGCTTCCTAACCCCTTGTGCCACCAGGGAGGCCCATAATTTATTTTTAAAATAACGAATTCTTTTTCAATTAAATATTCATATAGATGACAATGTGCTTCTGATACTTGAATATAACCCACAATAAGAAATATATTATAGAAAGAAGCAGGTATATGGAGGTGTGAAGTCATACTCCCAAAATTATATAGTTACAGTGACAAATTTAAAAAATGGAAACAGGGCCTTCCCGGTGGTGCAAGGGGTTAAGCACTGCACTATTAAGCAATCCAGAACCTCTGCAACATGAATTCGATCCCCGGCTGGCCAGGGAGCAACCCACATGGCGCAGCAGACCTCTCCTGTTCGCCCGCTGCTCCCCCCAGTCTGTCTGCCTGTTCTGTTCCCCACTCTGTGTCTGGTGAATCCTCTCACCACCCTCCCCACCACGTCTCTGGACTGTACCCCAGTTCTTATATGCATAAATAAATAAATCTTTAAAAAAATAAATAAAAATGAAAATGGAAGCAGGGAGCCTCCCTGGTGGCACAAGGGGTTAAGATGCAACCTATGAAGCTATCCTATGAAGCTATCCGCAGCCACCACAGCACAAGTTCAATCCCCCGCCAGGGAGCTACCCATATGGTGCAGCAGACCTCTCCTGACTCGCCCGCTGCTCCCCTCAGCAGTGTATATCAGTAGTTTCTGCCTGCTCTGTTCCTGGCTCTGTCTTTACTGAATCTTCTCACCCACCCCCACCACCCCCTGGCCTTTATTCTGGTTCTTGTATGCATAAGTAAAAAAAGGAAACATTCTATATGGTAACCCAGTTCTAATACGTATAGCCATAGTGGGGGGAAAAATAGCTTCACAAAATAAGAACTACACTTATTAAGCAGGGTACACTCTCATATCCTCCTCCATACTATCCCTTCATCCCAATCTTCTTTTGCTTCTCCCCAAAGCACACACACATCTCCTCTCCAAAGCACACACATACACACACAAAGAACACAGATTGAAAATTAAAAAGTTTCAGGGACTCCCCAGTGGCACAGTGGTTGAGTGCTGGGCTGCGAAGTTGCCCGCAGCCTCTGCAGCACCAGTTCGATCCCTGGCCACCGGCGAGGGTCCCACATAGCAGGCAGACCTCTCCTGCCACCCGCTGCTCCCCTTAGCAGTTTCCTCCGTCTGTCTGTCTGTTCTGTTCCCTGCTCTGGCTCTGGTGAATATTCTCACCCTCCTGCACTTCTGACTGTACCCAGTGCTTGTATAAATAAATAAATAAATCTTAAAAAAAAAAAAAAGAAAATTAAAAAGTTTCAAATACCAAGTAACCCTCCCTAGGCATACTTCAGTAAATTTTTATGGTTCTTTCTGGGTACTGTTTTCCTCTGAACACTTGCCCAGCTAATAAAACCATAAGAAAGTCAAACACAGACTTCAGTAAAACATCCCCTATCAAGGTTAATTAGTAACTATAAGGCAAGAAAGGGATCTAAATTTAAAGTCCCATCTTCAGTTCATTACAGTGTTCTCTCTTATTACAAAACATTGCAAATACGGCCTCCCTGGTGGTGCAAGGGGTTAAGCATTGCACTGTGAAGCAATCCGCAGACTCTGCAGCACAAGTTTGATCCCCTGCTAGCCAGGGAGCTACCCACATGTTGCAGCAGACCTCTCCTGTCTTGCCTGCTGCTCCCCTTAGCAGTGTACTTAGGTCAGTCGGTCTGTTCTGTTCCCCACTCTGTCTCTGGTGAATCCTCTCACCCTCCACATCTCTTGCTTGTTCCCCAGCTCTTATATGCATAAATAAACAAATCTTTAAAAAAAAAACAAACATTTCAAATAGCCCATGAGTTTATCCACAGAGGACCATGTAAAATTTATAATATACTTTATAACACATTTTACAGTCATTAAAAATGGCTGCTGATATTTTCTGGTTAGTATTGATGCTTATTTATACAAGTACATAACCCTATGCTTGTACAATAAAACTTTCTATATTTATGAATATACTTTATGCATGCATTATGAAAGCATGGGAAAGTATATAGTCCAAAACGTTAGCAGTGGTTACTTTGATAACTGAGGGTGATTTAAATTTTCTCCCATTTTTACATGCTCATTTTTCCTCCACAGTGTACACCTATTTTGTTAGTATAATTAAAAAGCAACTGCACCGTGAACAGAGTTTCAGTCTCTAGAAGAAAAACCCAGAAGACTGCACCAAAGGGGACCAGGACCTGTAGGCTGAAAAAGTACTAAGCAAATTTTGACTTAAACTGAACTGCCGCCTGCCAGCTCTCCTCCAGGTCACACTGGGCAAGTCCTTCCCTTCATTCTTCATTGGCTATTTATGACGTCCTTTAGGTGATAAGACGGTGCTAGACCATGACATTGGTGATAAACAGGAGTTTTGGATTCGGGGGAGAGAGATTAAACATATTTATACAAATAATTATTAAACTGTTATGAGGGCAAAGAAAGTAGAGAGCTGGCCATCTTGATTCCCACCAAATCAATGTTTATCTGTAAACTTCAGTGGTGCTCTATTCTTAAACAGAACCAATTTAATTTCAAGTTGCAGGGAAAGCTCCATCTACCGAAAGTCTCACTGTTATTTAACTAACTCTTTAGGAAAGTTATCCTGCAAAGGAATAAAAATATGGGGGGCAGGGTGCGGAAGATGGGGAACAATATGCATTATTAAATATGCATTATTAAATAATTCTGGTTAAGAGGTGATTTTTTTTGTATTTCATTCAAGTTCACCTTGTATTCTGGAATCTTTTAGCCCCAGTCCCTCACTTTGTAAGCAAGTCAAATACCCACGATAAGCTTCCCATAGGAACTATCTGAACAGAACAATAAACATGTTGGGTCATCTACACTTACATTTTTTTAAAAATGTATGCAGATACTAAGTTTTGCTCCTGAATTTTACATTTCCAACTTAAAAGACAAAAGCAAATGGAGAAGTGTTCTTTACAGTTTCAAACTTCCCGTATATAAATGCCTTTACTCTGAGCTGAGCAATAAAATGCATAGCAGTTTTCAAGTACATCCCATTCTACCCAATTCCAGAGGGAAAAGAATCACATTTTCAGTCGAATTCAAATTCAGTGATCTGAGCTTTTACAATGTCTTTATGAAGAGGGTAAAGTGAAGCACTGCCATTTACAGCAGGTCTGGCAAATTTCTCAGGGAAATTAAAACCTTCCTTTTAAGGGTACCCTGACTGCCCCCAACAGCGGGGCTTTCATTAGCATCACAGCGGTCCAATCTCAGGCCAAACACACACTAAGTCCGCACAGGCCTGCTCGAGCTACGTACACCCCCGGG